AACAGTGACAGTTTTGTTTCCTCCTTTCCTATTTGGATGCCTTTTATTTCCTTTTCTTGTCTGATCATTGTGGCTAAAACTTCGAATACTATATTGAATAGAAGTTGTGAAAGTGGACAACCTTGTTTTGTTCCTGATCTTAATGGAAAAGCTTTTAGTTTTTGCCCATTGAGTATGATGTTGATTGTAGGTCTCTCATATGTGGCCTTTATTATATTGAGGAATGTTCCCTCTGTTCCCACTTCGCTGAGTGTTTTTATCATAAATGGGTGTTGTACCTTATCGAAAGCTTTTTCTGCGTCTGTTGATATGATCATGTGGTTTTTGCCTTCACTTTTGTTTATGTGATGTATTACATTTACTGATTTGTGAATACTGAACCATCCTTGCATCCCTGGGATGAATCCCACTTGGTCATGATATATGATCTTTTTAATGTATTGTTGGATGCAGTTTGCCAATATTTTGTTGAGGATTTTAGCATCTTTGTTCATCAGTGATATTGGCCTGAAGTTTTCTTTCTTGGTTGTGTCTTTATTTGGTTTTGGGATTAGGATGATGCTGGCTTCATAAAAAGAGTTTGGGAATCTTCCATCATTTTGGATTTTTTGGAATAGTCTGTGAAGTGTAGAATTTAGCTCTTCCTTAAATGCGTTGTGGAATTCTCCTGTGAAAATACCTGGTCCAGGGGTTTTGTGTGTCGGGAGTTTTTTTATTACTCTTTCAATTTCATCAGGTGTTACTGGTCTGTTCAGGCTTTCTGCTTCTTCTTCATTGAGTTTTGGAAGATTATATTTTTCTAGAAATTTGTCCATTTCACCTCGGTTTTCAAATCTCCTGGCATATGGTTCTTCATAGGAATTTCTTATAATCCTTTGTATTTCTGTGTTGTCAGTTGTAATCTCTCCTCTCTCATTTCTGATTGTGTTTATTTGGGTCCTCTCTCTTTTTTTCTTGATGAGCCTGCTTTTAAAGGTTTGTTGATTTTGCTTATCTTTTCAGAAAATCAGTTCCTGGATTCATTGATCCTTAGAATTGTGCATTTAGTCTCTATGTCATTTAATTCTGATCTAATCTTGGTTGTTTCCTTCCTTCTACTTTTTCTGGGCTGTCTTTGTTGTTGTTCCTTGAGTTCTTGTAGGCATAGGATTAGGTTGTTTGTTTGAAATGTTTATGTCTTTTTAAGGTAGGCCTGTATTGCTATGAACTTCACTCTCAGGACTGCCTTCGCTGTGTCCCATTAAATTTTGGGTTGTTGTGAGTTCATTTTCATGTTTCCAGAAACTTTTTGATTTCTCCCTAATTTCATTCTTAACCCATTCATTGTTTAATAGCATGCTATTCAATCTCCATGATTTTGAGTGTTTTGTGTTTTTTTACTTGGGGTCAGTTTCTAGTTTCATTCAATCCCTTGTAATCAGAGAAAGTGTTTGTATGATTTCAATTTTCTTCAGTTCGTTGAGGCTTTTTGTGTGTGTCCTATCGTGTGGGTTATCTTTGAAAATGTTCCATGTACATTTGAAAATAGTATGTATTTAGTAGCTTCTTTGGGATGAAGGGCTGTATATATTTCAGTTAAGTCCATTTCACCTAGGGCATTGTTCAATGCCACAATATTTTGATTGATATTTTGTTTGGAAGATCTGCCCATTTTTGACAGTGGGGTATTAAAATCCCCACTATAATTGTGTTGCTGTCAATATCTTTCTTAAAGTCCTCTAAGATTTTCTTTAGGTATCTTGGTGCTCCTATGTTGGGTGCATATATATTTACAATGTTTATGTCTTCTTGGTGGATTTTGCCCTTGAGTATTATGAAGTGACCTTCTGGGTCTCTCTTTATGGCCCTTTTTTTTTGAAGTCTGTTTTGTCTGATATAAGTATTGCTACCTTGGCTTTTTTTTCTTGTCCATTTTCTTGGAAAATTTGTTTCCAGCCCTTTACTTTTGGTCTGTGTAGGTCTTTTTTCCTGAGGTGGGTCTTTTGTAGGCAAGCATATGTGTGGGTCATGCTTTCTTATCCATTCTCTGTGTCTTTTGATTGGAGCATGTAATCTGTTTACGTTGAAGGTTATTACTGATAGGTACTTATTCATTGCCATTTTTGTACCTGTTCCTACACATTCTTTTATAAGAATTTTCCATCTCTCAACCTGTTTTGTAAATAACATTTTTCTACTATAAAGAAGTTAAGAAAGTTAACATTTTGGGGATCATAACTTTTTATAAAGATTTTATTTATTTGTTTTTAGAGAGAAACGAAGGGAAGGAGAAAGAGAGGGAAAGAAACATCAATGTGTGGTTGCCTTTCACATGTCCGCTACTGGGGACCTGGCCCACAAACCAGGAAAGCCCCGACTGGGAGCAAAGCAGCAACTCTTTGGTTTGCAGTCCTACACTCAGTCCACTGAGCCATACTAGCCAAGGCAGGATCATAACTGTTTAACATATTAGAATTTTTAAAAATATATTTTATTGATTATGCCATTACAGTTGTCCTATTTCCCCCCTTCATCCCCCTCCACCCTGCACACTCCTCCCCCACCCTCCCTTTAGTTTTTGTCCACGTGTCTCAAGTTCTTTAGATTCTATATTTCCCATACTATTCTTTCCCTCCCCCCTGTCTATTTTCTACCTACCATCTATGCTACTTATTTTCTGTACCTTCTCCCCCCTTTCTCCTCCTCCCACTCTCCTGTTGCTAACCCTCCATGTGATCTTCATTTCTATGTTTCCACTCCTGATCTAGCTGTCCTTTTAGTTTGCTTTCGTTTTAGGTGTGGTCATTAATAACTGTGAGTTTGTTGTCCTTTCACTGTTCATGTTTTTTTAACTTCTTTTTCTTAGATAAGTCCCTTTAACATTTCATATAATAAGGGCGTGGTGATGATGAACTCCATGAATTTGATCTTATCTGAGAAGCCCTTTACCTGTCCTTCCATTCTAAATGAAAGTTTTGCTGGATGGAGCAATCTTGGTTGTAGGTCTTTGGATTTCATGACTTGGAATACCTCTTTCCAGCCCCTTCTTGCCTGTAAGGTCTCTTTTGAGAAATCTGCTGACAGTCTGATGGGGACTCCTTTGTAGGTGACTGTCCCCTTATCTCTTGCTGCTTCTAGGATTCTCTCCTTTATTTTAATCTTGGCTAATGTAATGATGATGTGCCTTGGTGTGTTCCTTCTTGGGTCCAACTTCTTTGGGACTCTCTGACCTTCCTGGATTTCCTGGAAGTCTATTTTCCTTGCTAGATTGGGGAAGCTCTCCTTTATTATTTGTTCTAATAAGTTTTCCACTTGTCCCTCTTCCTCTTCCTCTTCTGGTACCCCTATAATTCAGATGTTGGAATGTTTAAAGATGTCCTGGAGGTTCCTGAGCCTCTCCTCATTTTTTTGAATTCTTGTTTCTTCATTCTTTTCTGTTTGGTCATTTTTTTCTTCCTTCTGGTCCACTTCCTTGATTTGAGTCCCAGTTTTCTTTCCATCACTATTGGTTTCCTGTGCATTTCCCTTCATTTCACTTAGTGTAGCCTTTATGTTCCTCTAATTTGTAACTAAAATCAACCAGTTCTGTGAGCATCCTGATGACCAGTGTTTTGAACTTTGCATCTGATAGGTTGGCTATCTCTTGGTCGCTCAGAGTTATTGGATCTGTGGCTTTGAGTTCTTCTTGAGCCATAATGTTTTGGTCTGTTCACATGTGTTACATATGAGGCGCGGAACCTTAGGTATTCACTAGGGCGGGGCCACCCAGATTACTGGGTTGTGATGCTGTATGTGGGGAGGGGCAATGGCGGTCCCTTCTGCTGCTTCCCACCAGTGGGGCCTGCTTGGTCTGCCTCACTGCTTGCTCCTTTGCCTGGTTTATCTGTGTGTGAATGTGTGACCGCAGTTAGCCTGCTGCCTTCTGCCCTCACTGGGTCTGCCTGTTGCAACCCTTTGTTTCAGATCTGCCAACCACCGCCTACATACCTGGGTTGGTCTGTCCCAGTTTTCCTGTGCAGTTCCGCTTCACCAGTTGCTGGCTTTGCCCCTCTTACCAAGTCTGGCTGAAAGGTTCATTGTTGTCAGACTTCTGTATAGTTCAATTTTCTGTGTTTTGGTTTTGTTTTTGTCACTAAAATTTTGTTGTCTTTAAACTTGGTTGTGTAAGGAGGCAGTGTTTCCACCTATGCCTCTATCTAGGCCAGAAGTCTCAACATATTAAAATTGAAAATATAAATAAATTGGAGGTGTATGTGAGCACTCAAGAGTTTTAAATGCTACCTGGATTCGGGTAACGTTCAAGGCCACAGTGGTTGAGAACTATAACCTGCATTTATATTCATATTCTTATCAGTTATAGAAGTTTTATAAGAAATGCATTTCTAAAATTTATCATGTATTATTTATTAATTAAAGTACTTTTAGTGAAAAACTTATTTTATCTTAGAAAATGGCCTTAGACATTCTCCTGTAATTTATTGATTTAGTACAAAGTGAAAAAGCATAGGAAAAGATTTGGGGTAATTGCAGTGTATATGGTATCTAGCTTACCAATGATATTTTCCCTCTTTTTTTAAGTGTGTAAAGTGAAGTAAGTGTTTTGAATTCTTTGTAGAATGGAATTTTACTTCAGCAAAAAACAATACCCCTATGAAAAGGGTTTCCAGTGACAGTTTCCAGTTTGTAATGTAGAAACTTCACTGTGGTGCAAAGTGCTATGACTGACATTTTACTTAGGAAAATACATCATGGAACTCCGTTGATGGTATAAATTTCACAATGGTTTCATGTTCTAAATTGGAATGAAAGGTACATTAAAATTTACATTAACTTAGATCTGTTTCCAAAGTTGAGGCGTCAGTGGGAAGGGCAGCAGGATGGAGATTCCGGAATGTGTTTGGGACTCCGTGGTGGGTGGTAGGTTCAAAGCAGCCCTTTAATCATAAATGGAAAGGACATTTTTGACCAGGGCAATTAGGTTACGTGACCGTTTTTCCCTTTTTGTTTTTTATTTGTTATAGGCAAAGGGGAAGATAGTGATGTACTCAGTATAAATGCAGATGCTTACGACAGTGACATTGAAGGCCCATGCAATGAAGAAGCAGCTGCTCCAGAGATTCCAGAAAATACAGTCCAAAGTGAAGCTGGTCAGATAGATGACCTGGAGAAAGACATTGAGAAAAGTGTGAATGAGATTCTGGGACTGGCAGAGTCTAGTCCAACAGAACCCAAAGCAGCCACCTTAACTGTTCCTCCACCAGAAGATGTTCAGCCTTCTGCACAACAGCTGGAGCTGCTAGAACTTGAGATGAGGGCGAGAGCTATTAAAGCCCTAATGAAAGCTGGTGATATAAAAAAGCCAACCTAGTTATTTAACTTGAACCTGAATTTTTGGTGTGTTTGAACAAAGCCACATAATATAATTTTGTATCTAATGTTTATTTTGAGTCTTACGTGATATTTCTCATATAACCCATATTAGATGATACAGCTGTTTTCATTGACTTGACTTTTATATTATATGTGTGTTACTTACTGTTTTATGAGTTCATGGCAAATACCATTGGATAATCGGATACTTTATTATATAAACTGCAGATTAGTATCTGAAAAGCCATTAGCAAAGAGTCCTGGTAAATTTTTTTTTTAATTTTTAAATGTTTGGGCACCAAATTTAAAAGGCTAAGAAAAATTGACAAAGCACGTTACTCTTAAGGTACCTATATTTAGCAGTGAAATATTAAATTATTGCTCCAAAATTTGTTAACAATGTAAGAAATTTAGTTTTGCTTATATGCACTTTGAAAATATGAATTGTCTTGAAGATGCATACCTTATATGTTTGTGGATTTACTAGTAAAAACCAAGTAACTTTTTTACTATAAGATTTAGAGATCTGAAATGGCTGGGGAAAAAAACTTAGAAAATAGCCTTAATATAAGGTAGTTTTTAACAATGTAGAGTATTTGCCCAACTTTAATTCCAGCAGACAAGCCATTCTAACAGGCATTTGATATTATTGGACACTTTGTTCAAGTGTTTTTCTTCACTAAAAAGGGAACACATTTTCATTTTCATTCCAAGCTATCAGGAGAAGGAGAATATTTTATCATGCCAGCTTTCATCTAGTGTATTTGCCTGAAGATCTGATGCACTAAAATTCCATGAATTAAAAATAATAAAGATTGTCATTCTGGATTTGAAAACTTTTGGTACATTTCGAAAAGCAAAATTAATTTCAGGAAGCTTTGTTAAGTTGATGTTATAATCTGGTTTTGTATAGTTTTTGTAAATAACATCTTGCCACAATTATGGATGCTTTTTGCCCCATCACTAATTGTAGTTGTTTGATAACAAAATAAATTTAGGTAGAGATCCTTAACTTAAAATAAATTTTTTCTCTAAAATATAAATCTGGAACTGTTGTTTTTTATATTTGCTCACAATTAAAGTATATTTTATTTATAAACCATTCTTTACTAATGCTGTATGAGGACTTTCCTAGACTCTGAACATGCCGAGATGATGTTTTAGTAGTTGGCTTAATTGTATATAAAAATTGTAGAAGATTTATTATGGAAATAGAGAATATTTATAAAACATTGGAGTTATAGTTACAAAGTCTATTTGTTGTTCCTGAACATGCCTTTAAATAACCTCGTCATTTTTCTTTTCTCTCTGAATCTGATGAAGCAGAGGCCTGTATCATTTGAAAGCTTCTCTTATGGTAGTAAACATGAATATGATTTAAGTAGTGAGTTCTTGTAGTTAATTGCCTCAAGATAAAAAAAAAACTTTGATTATGGTAAAATAATTTTTTTCTTTCAACATAAACTAAAAGTTAAAATAATAAATAGTGCAGAATAAATTTTAATGCTGCTTAGTGATTATAAAATGCAGTAAGTAGATGACATGTGAGTGGTTAAACATAGAGGACTAGAAAAAGGGCTGAGTGCTTTATAACTGATTAAAGTCACACCTTCATGAAGCACTGTGTGTCTGCTGTATTCACTATGCAGAATGGTTTAGAGAATATTTCACTAGAGGTGGTATGTGTGAGGTAGAATAAGCTGAACATATTAGAGGCTACTTAGAGTCCTGCTTGGAAAATCAACTTTTCTTTATTTTTTTTTAAATGTTGAGAGACAGGAGAGCTTTTTGAAAATGAATGCCTTTAAAGAATAGGGATAAGTTTGTATTGGACATGGCCTAAGTAATGAGAAAATAACATATATTGATCTAATGCTGTTATTTAAATCATCAGCTCACAGGTATTTATTGATTACCTTTGCGGTGGTTAGTCTTGTTCAGAATCTTAAACTCGGGATGATACAGTATAGATTTTAGTGTGGAATGGACTGACTAGAAAAGATACGGATGCTGCTTCCTTTATGTCTAATTCTTCCTCTTTTGCCAAGATAAGGACAATTTCTAGACAATGTTTAATGAAAATTAAAAGAGAAAAAATTTGACAGCCTAATTTTTCACTTAAAGCAATCCTGATATTTGAATAGGAACTTGACCCAATCTTGAATGGTAGATGGCAACTGATAATGGATCCTCTTCATGAGACCTTGGCCATTTTTCAATGTTCCTAATAATTTACACAGATAGATCTTAAAAATTCTTTTACTAGTTTACTTGTGTAATATCCTAATGAAAAAATACCTAAACTCCCCAAAGCCTTTTGCTGAACACTTACAAGTCCTTAAAACTATCAGGCAATATATTCTTTTTAACATATCTTGTTGCCACAACCTATTTTCAACAAATTTTTAGATCACAGGGCATGATTAGCTACCTGAGTAGAGGTGTTCAGAGTCTTTTGAACAGTAATACAAATTGCAATAAAATACCAAGTGGGACAAAAATAGGTTTACATTTGTTCATATGGAAAGTAATATAATAGTTAATAAATGATACAAGAATAAATTTTCACATACAACTGTAAACCTACTTTTGCCCCACCCTTCACATATTTTTTTAATTTTTATTTTTTAAAGATTTTATTTATTTTTAGAGAGAGAGAAAGGACGCAGAAAGTGAGGGAGAGAGACATTCATGTGGGAGGGAAATGATCAGTTGTCTCTCATGTGCCTCCAGATGGAGACTTGGTCTTCGGCCCAGGCAAGTGTCCTAACCAGGAATCGAACTGACAACCTTAGGGTCCACAGGCCAGCGTTCAATCTACTGAGCCACAGCAGCCAGGGCTACATATTTTTTAAGTGCCATTTTCAAGATAGATAAAACAGCAGTGAACCCATAGTCTGGGCCAAAGATAGCTGGCAGCCTAAAACTTTAAAAAATTACCAGTTCTGTTTCATCATAAAAAATAAGAGAGTTCAGTTATAGATACTTCTTCTTTATCATATCTGTTAAATTCTTAAAAAAGACCAATATGCTATAACTTAAAGCTGCTAGATATCTTTACATTTTCTTTACTCTCAAGTAGACTCCCTTTTTAAAACAAAAGTGCTAATGAATAAACAATAGGAACTCAGATACATTTCCTTGGTATTTAATAATTATTTTTAAAAGTGTGATGCAATGAAAAGAGTGAGAGTTAAAAGCAGAAACTTCTGAGTGTGTCCAAACCAGTTGTGTAACCTTGAACAAATAACTATAAAATGAGGGAAACAAATTGTTAACCAATATATAATACTGAGGTTATATATAACCAATATATAATTCTGAGGTACTATTTTTAGACTCAAGTATAGAATACCATAAAAATTTGGAAAATTTAGGGAACTCCTAAGTTCAAATATTTCTTACCTCTGCCCTTCTCCCTGTATTTCAAAATGAACTAATCCAGTTCATTTCTCCTTTTTTTTTTTCTTTAACAGGATCACTTGGTAAGTACACTACCTAGAATTACTCACTTTGGCCCATAAATTTAGGTTATCTTTATTTTATTTCAAAATAATATGTAAATAATATTAAGTAAAAAAAGGTTTTTCCCAAGACTTAAAATGAAAAATAGTACTTTTTTCTCTATTCTTTTTGCACCAGCTTTGCTGAGAGGTAATCACTTTCAAGTCTTTCAGCCATTTTTTCCATATATGTCTGTATTTGTAAGTAACAATCATCTGTTTCTTGACATTTTAGTTTTAGATTTATCTGTTGATCTATTTTGGAATATGATGGTTAAGCTCTGTTTATTTTACCTGCCTAAATACATACCTTTCTCCTTCATCCTCCCATACAGTGCAGTTACAGTGTACTTTTGGTTAAGTTAGCATTTGACATTGATACTTTTTGCCTATGTAAATACTATTCTCAGCCAGGCTGTGTGGTATCTGTAATTCCTGTTTTGGTCCAATTTTTATTTTAAACTTTTTTGAAATTTAATAACTGCCTTATTATTTTATTTGCTCAGTGTTTTCTGTAGAAGACATTAACTTACACCTTGTTTTCCAGAAGTATAAATCTCTTTTCAGTAGGATGAAAAACATCATATAATCTTTCTTGTTTTCCTTCTCATACAGACATTCCTCCTGGAGTTCTCTCTTCCTCACTAATCTGGGTTTGTTGCTCTTCACCTCTCATGTGGCATACTCCATTTCAGAATCCTGCCTTCCTCTTTTAGTTCAGTGCCTCGTTTTGGTGGCATACCTGTTTCAGCATTCAGTTGAAACATTGTGTGAGTGTTGACATAGAGGCTGGAAGTCATTGTCCTGTTTTACAGCATTGTACCAGTGCCTTCCAGCTGTCACTGAATCTGTTGAGAAGTCGTTTGTCATTTTGATTCTTTTTACTTGCATATGTCCTGTTTGTTTCTTTTTGGAAACTGTTAGGATCTTATCTTTATTCCCAGTATTCTGAAATTTATTGATGATGTGTCAGGGGTTTATTTTTGTTTGTTTGTTTAAGTTGCTACTCCTGCCCCCCTTTTTATCTGTCTCATACCCATGTGAAAACCTGCCAGGTGATGCTGGGGGAGCCTACACCAGAAATGATCAGATTCACCTTTTCTCCAGGCTCATCCTAGTCCTCAGATCAGAAACTGACCAGAGGGGAGGGAATTTCAGGGGAAGAGGGGAAGGGTTTACAGGAACTAGTATAAAGGACACATGGACAAAAACTAAGAGGGGTGGAAATGGGAGGGAGGTGGGGAGGGGTGGGGGTGGACTGGGCTGGTGAGTAAAAGACAGAAAACTACTTGAACAACAATTAAAATAAGTAAATTTAAAATAAAACAGATTTGGGGGAAAAAAAGAAACTGTTAGATGGATCTTTTTTCCTTCACTGACTTGATCATTGGTGGACTCTTCAGGGGGGAAATTTATGTCATTCAGTTTTTAAATACTGCTCAGATAACTTCCCTTCCCTCTACTTTTTTCTAATCTATTTCTGGGACTCCTTTTATTAAGCTATTTAGACCTAGTGTTTTTTTTTTAATTTCTCAAAATTGAAAAATTTTATGAGTTAATTTGAGCCAAACTGATCATTTTCAGGAAGCAGAATCAACAAATGCTGCCTATTTCTATTGTCTTTGTTTCGATATTTCTTCAACTTCATTGTTTATTTTCTTGATATTCTCTTCCAGTTCTTCCAGTGATTTTTTTTTAAAAACTCATATTTTTAATACCAAAAGATAATTGTATATTTTTATTCTCTGAATATTCTCTTTTAAAACCAGCATTATGTCCTTGTGTCTGTAGGGCAGTGGCTCTGTCCTGATGCCCAGTGCTCTTGCACATACCCCGTCAGGCCACACAGGCAGCCTTTGGAGGACCCATCGCAACATTTTTATTTTATCAGCTGCCTTTTTTTTTAAGTCCTTACGCGCACACACACACACACACACACACACACACACACACACTGACTGGGCATTGAACTGGCAAACGAGGCATGTTCCCTGACCAGGAATCAAACCCTTGACCTTTTAGTTTATAGGACAATATTCCAACCAAGTGAGCCACACCAGCTTTTTTTTTCCTTGAGTGAGTCTCTCTATCTTGCCATAGGATGTCTTGAAGCAGTTTTCCCATCTGCCTCTGGTTCCTTTGAGATAGAAGATTATGTGTTGTCCAACTTAGGGCACAGCTGCAGGCTCTAAAATTGCTTGTCTGCATTAGCTCCTTAGCAACAGGGTATCCCACCAACTCTCTTCTGTCTTTTACTTTGTTGTTCCTCTGTGGGGGCAACTTTGCCAGCAAGTCCCCCCATCCACCACGGATGAAAATGAAACTACCAAGACAGAATCTGCTTGGGGAGGAGAGGTGGTCATTCTCTCAGAGGAGAAGGACCAAGAACCTCTTCAATGGCTTTTATTAGGTTTGTAACACACAGGAATACAGGTAAAGCTCAACAATCAATGTTAGGAGGCAAGGATCAAACAGTAGATAACATTTCAAAGAAATCTGAGGGCTTAGTCTGAGTCAGTGTCTGTCAGGTAAGGG